CAAGGGGTGGATGTTAACAGAGAAGTCCTTACAGGGAATCAGGCTTACTCTGCTCACCTCTCTAGCCTCAACAGCACGAAGTCTGCTTCGACTGTCAAGGCTCCCCGGAAATAGCGGGTCACAAGAGTGGGACAAACATACAAAAGAAGTAAAGGAGAATGACGATAGTAAGGATAAGCAAAGAAAAAGCAGCAGTTCCCTGTTGTTGTAGTTCAGGCACAGTTATGAGCATGACACTGTGGGATCAGCCCATTTACAATTCTACTGTGCATTAGAACGAGAAATGCCCCCTCGGATCGCCTTGTCGCTTTATTCTTTTTTTAAAAATAGTTTCTACAACTTTTAACTACGTGGTCGCTTTTAAGCACAAGGGGGCCATCCCGAAAAATGCTGTTTTGGGCAAATCGAAGGTAAAGTTTTTGCCCCTTGTTCAGTTTCTTTAAAAAACAAGGAGAGTTGTCTCTGTAAACAAACATATATACACACCAATAAAACCAAACTTCTATAGGTAGGGCAATGCCAACTCTTATTGTAGGTCAAAATTTCTAGAAACCCCCGAAACCTGGGTTAGCCCGCTTGCCCTTAAAAGCTACCATATTATAAGTCCCACCTCCACACTCTCTGCTGCTGTCACCACCTGCCTCCCCATGAATACTACCGTTAACATTGTTAACTTAAAAAATGCAGCATAATCAATAACAATTGATATTCTCCATCCTTCCCCCACCAAATTCGCCATCCCTGCCTCCACCAACTCTCGGAGGTCCCGTGTGCAACTTGAGCATTTTGAAGATTCCTTAGTGGTCCAAAATCGATAAGAGTAGGCTTCGGCCGCCACCCGGGCAAAATTAATAATAATAATAATAAATAGCATTTGTATAGCGCATGTCCCCACTTGAAAGCAAGCTCTATGCGCGTTACACTACATTATTACCACAGTAGACCATAAAACTCTCAGAAACATTCTCAGCTTCCAGGGAAGCATGCAGTGCAAGCAGCTGGTTAAGCGCTCAAACACTAACAAACTGACAAGATCTTTCACTGTCTATAGCTGGGTACCCATTTTCACCTGGGGGAAGTGGGGAAAATTCGTGTAAAGTGCCATTCTTAAGGACACAACTTCGGGCCCGCGGCTTGAACCCCAGAACCTGCGACCTCACGATTACGAGTCTGGTAGCCTAACCACTTGACTACCGACAACCTCACGATTACGAGTCTGGTAGCCTAACCGACGCCAGCTGAAAATGTTTAATGTGTAACACGCGCTCGTATGACCTTATGCAGTTGCGATCGCTGTAAAACACTTATTTAAAAAAAGACATTGACAGTCACAGTATTATAATTTACTCTGGTGTCCACTGCCGTGGTAGAGCCGTACAACTCTATCCTGACGACACATACCACGCTGGAGCACTCATACTCTCTCTCTCACTCTCTCTCTCCCTCACTCATTCTCTCTCTCTTTCTCTCCCCCCCCCTCTCTC